ACGTACGTACGTACGTACGTACGTACGTACGTACTTACTACGTACTACGTACGTACGTACGTACGTACGTACGTACTACGTACTACGTACGTACTACGTAGTAGAGAGTAGAGAGAGAGAGAGAGAGAGAGAGAGAGAGAGAGAGAGAGAGAGAGAGAGACGAGCCATTGCTTAAAAATTTTTGCTCAAAGAACAGCCCCCTGTCTGCCAGTGTTATTGCCGGACAGGAGAGCAACTTAGGGAAAAAAAATAAAAAAAGAGCTGGGGAGGGGGGGTGGTCCTCGTAATTTATTAAAAAAATGTCATCAAATGGTAATAAATGCCCCCAAACTATGTCGGTATGTCAATTGGGCACAAGATGCTTTTACCCTTATGTAAAAGAAAGACAATTCTCCCCCTAAGTTTTTATTTTTCCAAATTGCCTTGAAATCCTACAATTCTCCCCCTAAGTTGTTATAGTCCTTTGCATCTGTTTTGTACATAATTCGAACCAGCATAATTCGAACCAGTTTGGATTTGTTTGGGTGCTGTTTTTGAAGAAGAATTGTTATTTTAACCAGTGTTCAAAAAAGCGGACCACCCAGCACTTAGGCGGCTGCCTAGGCGATCCAAAAGGCTTGGGTGCGTCGCCCAGGTTTGGGCGGCCAAACTTGGCAGCAATCCTTGGGCGGCCGCCTAAGTGGTACGGAACTCGCCTAGGCAGGCGCCCACAGCCCAAGGCCTGTGGCCAGCCTAGGGGCAGATTTTTTTTTTTTTTTTTTGTTGTATTGATTTGTTTTGAAATATAAAGGGTTTGAAGGATGGTTTAGGTTCATTTCAAACCTAAACCCACAATAACCCATTTTAGAGGGAAAGAAACCTCAAGAAAACTAAATTTTGTGACTTTCATTGGATCGAAGTGTTTCTAAAAGTTACGGAAAACGGATCCAAACATCACCCAGGTAGATTTGATTTAGTTTTAGAGTTTTATAATTCTATTAGAGGGTGTTCTTTATTATTTTAGTACCAGAAAACATCTCAGAGGTGGGAGTTTGGAGTTCGAGCAATCAAAGTAAGTGTAAAAATTTATTTTTTAGATTGCTTGTTTTATTTTGAGATGTCTTCTTCAGGATCTAGTCGAAGTGGAGATCCGAGTTGGAAATATGGATATAACCCGAATCCAAATGACAAAATTGCATTTGATGCAATTTTTGTGAAAAAGATACGAAGGGGGCATAAACCGGTGTAAGAAACACCTTGACGGTATTAAGGGGGATGTTGCTCCTTGTAAAAATATTCTTGAAGCTATCAGAGAGGAGATTAAGCAATATATGAGTTATGTAAAATAAAAACAGGAATAAAATCCTTGTCATTTTAATAGGTCTATTTCTGCTACTTCTAGAAGAAGTGATCTGGGTTGGAGGTATGGTCATAACTCAAAACCAAACGATAAAAATTGTATAAGGTGTACTTTTTATGAAAACGATACCAATAGGGGTATTAACGATTCAAAAACATTTTGTCGGTATTAAAGAGAATGTTGCTTCTTGTAAAAAGGTTCCTGAAGCTATTCGGGATGAGATTAGACAACTTTTGAATTTAAAAGAACCAAAAAATGATGAAAATGAGCCTTGTTATGTAGAAAAATATTTCTCCAGGTTCGTCTAGAAATAGTGATCCGGGTTGGAAGTATGGTTAACTCGAATCCGAATGACAAAAATCGTATTAAATGTAATTATTGTAGAAAAGATGCTAATGGGGGCATTTACCGGTTTAAAAAACACTTTGCTGGTATTAAGGTGGATGTTGCCCCGTGTAAAATGTTCTTGAGACTACCAGGGAGGAAATTATACAATATTTGAGTTCAGGGAAGCACAAAAAGATAGAAAAGTGTCGAGTAGCCAAGACTCCTAGGGCCTCATCTGCACATACTAGTGAGAGGGATGTAGAAGAAGAGAAGGAGGAAGAGGCAGATTCAAAAGAAACAGAGGAGGACGAGTGTTATATTGAAGAGGGAGATGACTCTGATGGTGATGGCGTCGATTCTGATGCATGTGATGAAGCTTATCCTATTCCTTCTGATGATGATGATGATGATGATGATGATGACTGAAGAGTGAAGACTCTTGGTGTTGAGTGTTGACTGTTGAGTGTTGTCCATTGTGTCCTAGACTGTATATTTTCTGAATTTATGTATATTTTCTCTTTCTTATTTTTAGTTTCTAGTTCTACTGTCTAATTTTTGTGTGTACAGTCTACAGTGTATTAGACAATCAGTGTATGCTTGTATGGTTTTACTGTTTTAGCATTGTATGAAAATATGGATTATGGTCTTATGGATTATCAAAATTTTTTTCTCGACTTCGATCTTTGTTTTTTTTAATTGGGATTATGGTCTTATAGATTATCAAAATTCTTATGGCTTATGGTCTTATGGATTATCAAAATTCTTATGGATTAATCAGTATCAGTCATCAGTCATCAGTTTTTCATCATTTTTTTTTTTAATCAACGCTCGCCTAGGCGCCAGGCGGCTTGCACCCCCTTGGCTGCTTGGGTGCCGCCTAGCGCTTTTTGAAACACTGATTTTAACGAATTGAATTATTCATTAGGGTTAGGGTGAAAGAAAGAGGAAGAAGGCAATAATTAAACTATGTTAATGTAGGGCTTTGTAAAGTAGAATTATTTGGTTGAGAAGCCATGTTTTCAGAGAAACAGGGTTGTTTATTGGGGAATGAGCTAAGTAAGGCTTGAATGCGGAGTTCAATTATGGTTCTAACGAATGAAACATGGTTGTTTATTTTTCACTACTTTATTTCTTGAAGTGAGGTGAGCGGAGTCTTCTATGTTAGTTTTATTTTATTTTGATAGTTATTTAAATTTATTTTTCATTAATAATTGGCATGGGATTAAAACATGATTAAGTGTCAGGTTGACATGGTTCTTTGATCATTTATATTTATTAATAAAATGATATTTGCTCTTAAATCAAATAAATTCTGATAACGAAGTTCACTATGCTATTTCTAAGCAAAAACGCAAGCTGTGCTTAAGCAATGGTCTAAACATATCCCCAGAAAATTTACCCGTAGTTTTTTTAAAAAAATTATGCTTAAAACATAAAATTCAATAGAAGAATATAAATAAATCCTCAAAATAATAAAATTCAAAATTATCACACTTGCAACTTGAAAGGGGAAGGTACTACACAAAGCCAGGTTGTACAAACTGGTCCAAATAGTGGAAATATAAAATCTGGGTTTCATCCAGATGCTATCCAAACTGGGTATTACCCAAAACAAAGGTTCAAAACCACCCAGAAATTGAAAACCCTAGTGCCAAACAACCAATTTGTTGATTTGTATATTATGTAAATTAAGAGTAAGATGTCCCTGGAGTTTTAAAAATATCACAAAGAAGCCCAATATTTGGGACAGTTACAAGTAATGAAGTACAATGTAACACAACACTCTAGAAGAACAAACTACCTCTCAACAGTATTGCACCTAATGATATGAGAATAGTGGAATTCAAAGGCTTCTCTTACCTGGTTTTTCTTTTTCTTCTATGAACTCTCTTTCGACCAGTCTTAGTCATCATAAAATATATGTTTACGAATCACAAATATATGTTTATTTGTTCTGCATATGCTTATAAAATCACTTTGCATTCTTTCAATCCTGCATTCTGGATTCCCCCCTTGCTTATGATTTATTCTGGATCAAAACTTCAGTGCAGAAGGAACAGGTAGAGCCATAGTCTCATGCCCTTTGGGTGCCTGAAAGTTACCGTGTAAAACCCTAAAAAATTTCTGTTATTTTCTCTTTAAGTTTCGTACATTTTGAGTGCCATCATGCACTGTAGTAGGCCAATGTAAAACGATAAAAATTCTTGTTTTGTGCTCTTTACAAAATACTCCCCTTCTTGCACCCTGTTGATCTAGGATTACCTTTGCTGTGTAAATCCAAGATCAGTGAACTGGCTACCTTACCTACATCCCTAAACTCTCTCAACTACCTGTGTTCTTTAAATAGATGATGCACATTGAACAAGCAGCTCTCTCCTCCTGACTTCAATTGATACTTATGTATCTGCCATGCCTCCCTTTCAACTCTTTCATCTCATGAATATTGCTGAAGCCTTGTATGTACAGTGGCTTACAAAATTTTATTCTTATGTTTTCCAATACTTGTATCTTTGGCTATTATTTGTGGCTTTTAGGATGCACTTAAATGTTGGGAAGGGACACTTATTATAAGATATTCATGTAATTGCCATGGTGTCCTGAAGTGTTCTCATATTTGCAGTTAATAAAGAATTGTGTATTTTTCCTAATTTTTCCAGATCTGAACAATCCTCTTGCTCTTTTTGGCTGTATTTATTAGTATTATTATAATCCTGGCGTCGAGAATGTCACCACGAACTCAGAGAAAAAATCCAAAGGAGATATTCATGCAAGAACAGAAGGGGCCAGAAAGGATGGTGGGAAGACTCGATTAGAAAAGGAAGAGCAAACTCCGAGTCATGAAGATGAAAAGAGAGTAGTAGAGCCTGCAAATTCAAAAGAAAGTATACCAAATGAACCAGAGATCGAGGAAGGTAGTGGTGAGATAGAAGGAAAAGGCCTTCTGAATGAAGACACAGTGAAGAAAGCTCTTTGGAAAAGGGCTTCGTTTTTCAGAAAGCATGCTGAGTACGTTTCCATGCTCCCTGTTATTGCTCAGATTTTGGTACAAGCAATTAAGATTTTTTTTTGTTTAATTGTTTTTGAAATTTCGGGTTCTTGAGGGAAGGAGCACATGCTGTTTACAGAAAGTCTTGCTATGGACATAAATTACCACTTGAACGGATTCTATAGCCCTTGATTGTCAGTCTAATAATGTGACTGTTATATATTTGGCATATGATTTGTTAATGAATTAAAACTTTCAGGGGTATATCATTGTCAGAAGTTCGTCGAATGTTGGAAAAAGATCTTAAACTTAATATGCGTGATCTCGACACTTACAAAGGATTTATCAATGCTCAAATTGAAGAGGTGACTGCCTTATTCCTTCCCTGGTTCTAGTTCATTGTAACTCATTTTGAACAGTTCCAAATTCTAGCAATTATCTTTTTCCTTTCTGTTCTTTCTTCTTAGATTCTTGGAAGCCCCAATGCAACTGATACTGAAGGGTCAAACACAAAAGAAACGTCAGGAGAAGTCTTTTCTGGAAAGCATATTGACAGAAGAAAAAAGCATAAAACCGGAGCCTGCTCTAAAGATTCTTCAGAGCCAGATGAAGTTCTTGATGGCAGTCAGGAGAGTGAGGAAGACCTGCCAAGATCAAAAAAGCAGAGTCGTGAGACTGGAAACCGCATTAAGACGAAAGTGCAAAAGAAGAGGAAGAGATCCAGTGATGAAGGCAAATTATCAATAAAGAAGCCAGCTAAATCAGCAACTCTGGAAGACAGAGAGACATACCATGAAAGTGAAAAGTTATCAGATGATGATGGTCCTCAATCATCCCTTGAGGAGTCTGCCAAGGTTAGATTGAACTCATCAGTGATAGTGCTGCATTTTCTTGAATTTTGATGGATGCTAGATATTCACTGCCACACGTATTTGTAGAAGCAGAAGAAAAGTGGAAGCTCAACCCCTGTCTATGGAAAGCAAGTCGAGCATCTTAAGAAAATTATAAAATCATGTGGAATGAGGTATTTTCCTTGCCATGATTCATTCTCTGAAATGAATATCATTTATTAATGCCAACTCGTTGATGTGATGTAATCGTTCTGGATTCCATGTTTGTTCTCTAGTGTACCACCAACAGTATACCGGAGGGTCAAGCAGGCTCCTGAGAACAAACGAGAGTTGAATCTCATAAAAGAGTTAAAGGCAATACTTACGAAGGAAGGGTTGTCTTCAAATCCTTCTGAAAAGGGTAGGTGTGACCTCACATTGTAAGTAGACCATTGCGAATGTGTTGCAGGTGTGATTCAGTTATTCTGCTAATTATCTATCCTTCATAGAGCTTTTATAATGTGCTGGGAAAGGTCATATATTAGTTGATGGGAGTGATTTCAAACTAAACAATAGAATCACATGAAACATTGAAACATACTAGGAAATAACAGGTTCAAGGTCAGCAGTGGGTATCAAATCTTGGATGTTGTGCTGAGGCTCCTGAATGCCCCAAGTGCCCCAATTGGAAATTTAAAAATTCTATGTTATTAATGTTGGCTCTTCCCTTCCAATTTAAAGCAGTTCAAAATTTATGGATTGGCTCAGAACTCGCTTAGGTCAATGGTTGCCTTCCGATTGTCACCTGAGTCTTACTATAGTTAGCTGAGTCTCAGATTTTAAGGTTTTCGTTATTATTATTATTATTATTAATTTGATGTAGATTAGCTGAGTCTCAAAAGACTGGACCGAGTCGCACTGAGTTGATTTGGTCGAGGACCGTGTCAATTGGGAGCCAAGTCGGCTCTTTTAAACTTAGATTTCAAATATGACACTCACGTAGAATGCTGGGAGGGCCAGATTGTGTTTAGTGGAAATAGGATGAACTAAGTTGTACAGATGCTACAGCTTGATGACAATAATATCTCTTTTTCTATCAAAAGTAAAACAGATGCTGCATATCAACTTAGATGGTTCTAAATCAAGCTGCTTGAATTCCAGAACATTGTAACATAATACAACTTTCAAATTGGGCTAAATTTAGTTGCAATTAACTGATGGGGTACATAGTTGAGTGTTTACAATCTGTTCATTTCTGACACTCTAAACATCTGTACCAACACTTCGGAAAGTATTGCTTTGTTATCTCAAACTTTATGTTACATACTTGGACACTACTTTTCAGCATTAGCATTCATATGCAAATATTTACCATCCTTATTTAAGTTCTAGACATGTATGTGACCAAGATTTGCACATGGATACAAGAACACTTTAAACACTTGTGCCCAAAATTTTGGACGGACGTTCATACTAGGGATTGTGCATCAAAATTTTTTATCTCATTTTGAGGAGATACTGTCACTCATTGCTACATTCACTCTGGGAAAATCTTTGTTCAAATCAGGGCATGAAAAATTTCAAATGGATGAATTTTATATTGTCCTTATTTATGTAATCAGTAGAGGTTGATTTGATGTATTGCATGACATGCACTCTATCTGCTCAAGGTGTCTGAACTGAATTTGACCTTGTGCTTTCTGATGATCAAGCTAGCATCTGGTATATTCTTAATATATGCTGTTTTAACATATTCACAGTCTATCCACATCCTGAGATGAATGGTATTTAATGGCAGCATACATCCCAGAAACTTGATGTTGTTCGATGGAATATGTTTATGGTTGCAGAAATAAAAGAAGTTAGAAAGCGGAAGGAAAGAGCGAAAGATCTGGAAGGGATTGACTTGACAAACATCATATCAGATTCCTGCAGCCGAAGGGCAAGAGCAAACTTCTTCATTTCTCCTCCAAATCCTAAACCATCAGTTGACAGTGATAAGGGCATTGATGATGAAGATTCTGATGATGATAGCAGCGATAGCGAAGAAGCAAGTGATGGTATCCAAGAAGGTATTTAGGCTAATGTTCTACAGAAGCATTGTTAAAATGCTCAGGCAAGTTGTCTAAAACTTGCCTGGGTCACTCGAGCTCGACAACCCGACCCCCTCCACCACGGGCACTGGGGGGTGGGGGGGGGGGGGCTACAGTACATTGTGCGGGTTACTGTAGCAACTCACTGGAGTTACTGTAGAACCTGGCAAGTTCTTTGGCTGACTCAGTAAGTCAGCAGAACTAGCCCAGTTCAATTATATTGAAATATATAAAGGAGGGCAAAAATCTGAACCCCGTATTTTTCCCATTTCTGTTCATCCGAGGCTTGGATCAAGCCCAAATTCAGGTTTATGCTCGTTTTTGCATGGTTTTTCAATAGGATGGATCAGATTTGAGGGGGAAAAGGACCTCAGATTTGACGGATTTGACAGATCAAAAGTTTTGACCTACATTTTGGCCTAATTCAAAATGTTGCTCGCAATCATTGGTTGATCTTGGATAATTTTTTTTCCTAATCCTATTTTTGGGTTCGTTGTTGAACTATATGCTTGTTTCTCATAAAAAATGACTAAAAATGTTTGATTTTCTATATTTTGTATTTCGAATTTACTTTTCATCTTGAAATTTCATGAGTTGGATCAACTAGATCTGAACTCAAACCTCATATAGTTGAGTTTATATGTGTGTTATATTTTTTATATTCATAAGTTCAATTTTTGATCTTGTATATAATTTTGGTCCTTTTCTGTTGTTTACAATTTTTCCCAAGCTTTTAAGTATTTTCCAGCCTATTTGGCGAACTTGGGGCAAAATGGGCAAGTCAACTTGGTACTCGCCGAACTGACTCACTCATTTCTGGGCCATGACTTGCGCCTCTGAGCTGACTTCGCTAAACACTATATAAGAGAAGAAATGTTGTTTTCATGCTCTTAGTGATTCACAGATGGTTCCCTTTTCAAGCAATCCTAAATTTTTTAATTCACTGCATAGTGAATTAAATTTTTTAACATTCTTCTTGAATTCTCCGTCAGTTTTGATTTTTCCTCCATTTACACTAGGTAATTAAAGCCTTTACTCAATTTAAATTTCATTTCAGGATATGATTGTTCATTCTATTTTATTATATTGGATTCTGTAGTCAACCTGTTTTCTTGAGTATAGCGTAGAAACCAAGTGAATATCTAGATCCATGAACTGAAATTCGGCAAAGTTGAATTAAATAAGTTTTTGAGTACAAAGAATTAGAAATTCCGTACCCACTAATTGAACTCATGAGTATGCAGAGTTATCCAACTTGATGACCTAGAATCAAGTTTTGGCAAAATGAGGCTTGTTGGCCTTTGTGAAATGTTCATTGTGAGTCCCAATTTTCAATGTTACTCTTTTTTAGCTACAAGAGTACTTAATCCTAATTTTTGACACTTGGAACCATTGCATGGCTGCACTTGTTTTGCCATAGACATCAGTGTCTATATGCATCAGAATGTAGTGCAAATAATGTTGCATTAGCAGCATTATGAATCGCTATGGTAGTCGGAGGTTTCTCAATGGGAACTTTGAAGTTTTTTAGTGGATGATGGAAGATGGAATTCCTTCGCTTGATACGTGACTTCTTCACTTCGCATAAGTACCTATCCCATCTTGTTGCTCTGGAGCCAGTCTTCTGTGCTAACCTTCATTTCTCTTTCTTAAGCAGGTGTTTCTGAGGAAAGCGATTGATTGATTGATTTCTGAAGTTTTATCACAAGAACACAAGCATTGAACCAAGAGCCGTAACAACTGAATTTGGCACAACCTGGATTGGAAATAAAATAGTACACTCTTAAGGCCTGTTAATTATTTTAGCCCTGTCCATAGATGCCTTTTCTCCGTTTGTAGTTTGTTGTAAAAATTAGGATTTGGACCATGTTGAAGTGCGTCCGTGCAAATCAAGAATCTTTGTGTAGATTTGTTCCAGCCATAGTGATTCAGGCTTTGCAACTCAAAAGGCTTACTGAATTTAACCAGTATGCTGCTCCATCCTTAGTAACCCTGCGATTGCCTTCCTACTAGATGGTCCGTTTCCTCTTTGGTGGAATGGGGATCCCTGTTTGGTGTAATTTTCGGTAAACCAACATGAAACCAATGTAGGAAATATTCATTTTAAAGGGGAAAGTTGCATGGGACGAAGTGTACACCTACTCGGGCAAAAACCCCACTTCTTACTGTTCCATCTGAAAGACAAAAAGGGTTCCACTACAATTAACTGCACTAGAACTCAAATCATTTTCTCTAAATATTACTGGTCTGTGGCGTTAAAGGGATCAATCCAACGAATCCCTTTGAGTGGCTAGTTTACTTCTGCATGAGTACTGTAACTTGGTTATTGACTAGATGAGGGAGTTGCAGGAGGCTCTATCATACGAAATGTATTACAAATTGGAAATTTTTTAATTACAATTTTGCATTTTATTTTTGATTAATTTATTCAATGGATTTTTCAACTCCTTTAATTATAGCATCTAATATATCACAAAATGTCATTATTAATCTATTCATGGATTTTTCAACTCATTCAATTATAGCATCGAATATATCACAAAATGTTATTGTAAAAAAACTATATATATATCAAAATGTTTCAAACTTTAGAATATGATTACTTTGTCTTAGAAATGACTTGTGCCATTTTAAAATAAGAGATTTGAAATTTTAGAAAAGGATGCCCATTTTATCCTATTTTGTCATACTTATTATTTACAATCCTTATTACCGTATTCATTAATTGCAGTTATGAGGATGAGGTTTGCATAAGGTGCCTTCGGTAGCAATAAGCCGCACCACTAAAATTTAGATAGAGATGTAATTGTGGTTTTGGAAACCTTGTGGTTTGAAAATCTATTTTCATCCTTAATTACGAAAATTGAAAAATTCAAAGGTGGTATGGATTAAGCAGATTTATAAACACTTGAAAATAGGTAGATCAGATCCCTAGGTTTTAGGATTTAAAGTTCTTGTTTTTTTTCATATATCGAATGGATTGAATGAAGGGTTCTCCAAGATCGAAACACTCTGTTTTACAGGAATTTTGAAGTGTACCTTACATGAATAGTCAATGGTTGCAACTTTATATGAGCATTTCCTTTTAAGGAAAAAGCCTTATTAAGATATTGCTTTTAGCTTCCAAGGGAGCATGCTGTCCATTTACTCCTCAAGGTAACTTTTCGGGCCTGAAATTTTGGGATGTAACTTTCTCAACCCATATGCAAACTCAATAAAAAGAATTTTTAAGTTGCGCTATCCATAGGCTTGAATAAAATAATGACAAAATCGATAAAAACGGTCCAATTTTTGAAGCATGAAATTTAAGAGTTAGAAAATTGAAAATTCAAATATTTTCTTTTGAACGTAATCAACTAGTATTTTTTAAGTGGTTTCTAAAATTTTGATTACAAAATATACAAAAAAAATCTTCCTAAGTAAATCTTCTACGTGAGGCAGTATTCGGTGTATGCTCCCCCAAGAGCATAATATGCACACTTACTTTTAAAATATTAGACAATTTTTTTGATAGAACTTATAAGCTTTATTAATGAATCCTTACGAAAAGGAGATTACATCAGAAGAAACAAAGAGAGATTATAGAGATACACCTCCTTTAGCAAGATAGTCTGCCAAAGAATTTGCCTCCCTGTAAACATGAAGAAAAGCAATAGATAACGGTTCCACGAGGCCCATAATCTGAAACCAATACGGCCTTAACTCCCATGGAACCTGACGTTCCCTATTGCACCAATGAATCATATTCATAGAATCACCCTCGATCACACATGAATTGTCAACTTTTCTAGTAATAAAGATCTTCAAACCTGCAAGAGCAGCTAGTAACTCTACATGATTTGCAGTGGCTATACCAGCGGGCCCTGCAAAGGTAACAATAACCTCACCAAACGCATTACGCAACACCCCTCCTAGGCCTGCAACCCCTGGGTTCCCAATGGAACTCTCATCAAAATTCAGTTTGAATCCACCTAAGGACGGTGCTACTCATATGCTTCTTGGTCTAATCTTAAAGCTGCCCATCGGAAAAAAATTATGCAAATTTAACAAAACATCAGGTTGCGAAATCCCCCACCTTTCTTTAGTAATAAATGCCCAACACCAAATGGAAACTTTATTCTTGGAGAGCACTCTCTCAAACGGGAAGCTAACCTCGTTAAAAATACTCTATTCCTCTCTTTCCACAATTCCCATAACACTGCCCCTCTTGCTATTTTCCATATCACACTGCCCAGGGAAGGTAAATGTTTAAAGGTTAACTGTGACACAAAACCAATCACATATTGGGGTAGAAAAGAATTCACCGCAAGTAACACAAACAGCCAATACCAAATCCTAGATTCAAAAGGATAATAAATAAACAGATGGGGACTTGATTTACCATTCTATTTATACATCAAACAAATATTAGGAAAAACTTTTTTTCTTTTTATCAAATTATCCACCGTCAGAATCTTATCTTGAGAAGCCAACCAGATGAAGATCGGAACTTTATGAGGAATAGGGCACTTCCGAATTTGAGCCACCACTGAAAGCGACCATCATTAGAAAGAAGGCGGTAACAATATTTTACTGTAAAAACACCGTCACTTTCCATCTCCCAAACAATTTCATCCGCCCCTCTATGAGATAAATATACCCTGTCCAAGATACCCATCAACTCATTCCATTGCGAGAAAAGGGATTCATTCAGCAGATATAGGGAAGAATAACATTCTATGAGATCATATTGCCTCTAACTTCAACAACCTTTGCAACTTTGGTATTAGGAAGACTCACCTTCGAAAATGGATTTGGGAATACAACTTTAAGAGGATAATCACCTAACCATTTGTAGTGCCAGAAAGATATACTCTCCCTATCTCCCACCACCCATCGAAAATATCCCGCAATAATAGGTTTACACTTAAAAATGGATTTCCATAAAGCTAATATATCTCTGCCTCTACCTCCACCTATCCATAAGTCATGTCTATCCATACCATATTTCAAAGATAAGACCAAATACCAAGGCTGATCCCTTAAATTAAAGCTTCACCTCCATCACTTACATAGAAGAGCCTCATTCACATTTTTAACTTTCCTAATACCAAAATCACCCTCACTTTTAGGGGTGCATACACGATCCCACCTCAACGAATGAAATTTTCTCTCTTCCCCAAAACCAACCCCTCAAAAAGTTGTGCATCATTCTCTTGATCTTCTTACACACTGAGACCGACATCTAGAACAAAGACATATAATAGATGGGAGGGTTCGTTAAGAAAGATCTGAGTAGCGTAACCTTGCCACCTTTAGATAGGTACTTTGGTCTCCACAAATCAAGCTTAACTTAAATTCTTTCTAATACCTTATCCCACACCAAAATAGAAGGTCGAGAGTCTGAAATGGGTAAACCTAGATAGGTCAACGGAAAGCAACCAACTTTACATCCCAAACTAAAAGCTAAATTGTGTATGAGGAATGAAGAGCAATTAATGCCAATCATAGAAGTCTTATGGAAATTAACTTTTAAGCCCAAAGCCACTTCACAACATTCCAAAAATCTAGCAATATCACTGACTTGACTTCCCTCTGCCTCACAAATGATTGGTGTATCATCTACATATTGCAAATGCGATACACTAGGAATCAACATAAATAGTAAATCAAACTTTGAAATATGTAAAATTTCCACAACTTTTCATCCTCTTAATCATCAAACTAAAGCAATCAACATAAATAGTAAATAAGAATGGAGACAAATGATATCCGTACTGTTGGGTGAATGTGGTCATTAATGGCCTTATGAGTGCTTGTAAAATGAAATGATATAGTGGAACATGAACTCAGTGGAAGTGTGGTCACTCGTGGACCATACTAAGCAAACGATGTTTGCTGATACCGAATTGTGCTAAACGGTCTAGGCCAGTCGATTGGAAAAAACTTATATTACCTGGGCATAGAAAATTAACTGATAAGGGTTTTAATGGTCCATCCCCTGATGAGGTCGGAGTATGCCCGGTTGAGTAAGCCGAGGGACAGTGTAAGTGTGATGGTGGCCTTCAGAGATGGGGGCTAAAGCCTCAACCATGTACTATCATACGACATACATAATGATAGACTTTTTCGGGAAAGCGAACCACCTTTAAGGGTGAAGCTTATGCATGTGCGCGAGATACCCCTATACACAAGAGGAGCTGTGGTCGCATCAGGTCTAGGTGACCTTGGCACGTCTTTAGGGGAGAACCTGAAATCTACAGATTGGAATTGCGACCCCATGGCTCATCGGCCAAACTTTGGTGACCCACTAATGAGTCCCTGTTTGGACTATAGGTCATGAGAAACATTGGATCGGTTTGATAAAGCCAGTATGGTCCGTAGTCCACAGTTGAAGGTAGAGTGTCCCAGTGTTTGATTGATTTAATTTGTAGACCATATAGATCCTTTTCTCATACAATAAATTTAATTATGTTTGTTTTATGATATATATGATTTTAGAATTATTAATATTTTTTTTAGATCTTTGGATATTTTATTTATCAAATTTGGATTTATAAAATCAGAGATATTGATTTTATATTGATTTAAATATTTAAATAAATTTTAAAATTATTTTATTGAGTTTTAAAAATATTTAAAATTACACGGGGGCCTATTGTGCACATGGGCCCACCATGACCTAGATGGTGGGGTCCATGAGATCCTCTCATGGGTGGCACGCCCCACCCATTTAAAAGCTTTCCATTTTTGTGATAAGTGATTTGGCTTGTAGGTCAAGTTGCTATGCGTTTTGGAAAGATATTGACTTAAAGAAGCTTTGAATGAATTTTTGGAAAGCATGAGAAGACTTGTGCATTATTTTGGTATGCACAATATTATATTTGAAATTATTTTATTTAATTTTTATTGATGGAAAAATGGTTTAGGAAAGGGGGATAAAGGTTTTAGCACCTTCCATAATGTTGATGACCCATCTATGGAATGGATGACTTTACAAGTCACCCAAGATCAATATTTCATATTCAATCTCATAAGAAGAGGCAAGCTAAGGAAAATCCTAAGAAACCCTAATCTTGTTCAAACCCTATAAAAATGGATTGTCTCTACCCAAAATCTCTACACCTTATCTCTTATACGTAATTCCCATCTT